CTCTCTCTCTCTCTCTCTCTCTCTCTCTCTTCCTCCCCCCTCAGGATGTAGCTCTCAGCTACTTCTCCAGCCACTCCTGCCTGCCACCATGCTCTCTGCCATGATGCTATTGAACTAAGGCTCTGTAAGTTCAAGCCAGCCCCCAATTAAATGTTTTCTTTTATAAGAGTTGCCTTGGCCATGGTGTCTCTTCATAATAGCAGAACAGTGACTAAGACATTAGGTGATTTGCTAATATTGTAATATACAGGTTGGTGAAATATGGCATGATCATTCTAAGTACCATTATAGTTAACCCACATTTTTCAAATTAGACAGAACCTAAATAAATAAACAAACAAATAAATAAAAAGCTACAAAGAATCACCAAGAGTTAGTGCTCAAAATGTAACATCAAGATTTAAAAGGAAAAAAAAAAACCCTGCTTCCTACAAATTACAAAAATATGCGACATATGTGATTACCCAAGCGGCTAGTTAGACTTGGCTAGTTAGATCCTGCTTCTAACTGCTTTTACCTTGTGAAAGGCAAAGGAGACATCTTCCCTGCCCTGGCCTCACAGACCAGGGACAACCTGTGCCACCTCCTCCTCTCTGGATGTACAACATGCAAGCCGGGATGACAGGCAGGTCATGGATGAGATGGACCAAGATTGAGAGTTAGGCTGGTTTAAGTAGTGTTGCAAAGATTCCACCTGAGGGTGGCCTTCAAGGGAGCATCTTCCTTTGAACAGTCCTATGGGGAACCTGACATCTCCACAGCTCCCTGAGGAGAAAGAGGCAATGTCTAAGGCAGCATGTCCCGGGCTTAGAGGAATAACAGCCGAGGAAGGGAGAACAGAAAGCCCAGGAGGGGCTCAAAGGACAAAGAGAGGAGGTGGGCAGCCAGAGAAGATGGACCCCCCCGATCTGCCTCCTGGCTCAAGGGACAAAGCGAACAGCCACGCCACGTCTGAGCTTATGTGCAGCCTCAAGGGCTGGTTAGTAAGGGTTTATTTCTGGTGGTGAACTGTCCCTTCCTGTCCTTCCAAGTTTTAAGGGCATAGCTAAGGGGTTGCATCTAGCGTGTCTGTGGCTCCATGCTACAACGACGTGCTTCTCTTCCTCATCCCCCGCTGTCCATGCTGTTTTCCTTTCACAGAGGCAGTCCTCTTCTTCTAAGCCTGCCTCTCCACATCTCTGGACCAGCTGGTCCCATGGGCAGGCAGCTGGCTTGAGGCTGTGAAACAGTTTAATTGGCCTGCAATGGGCATGGCCCTGTGACAGCGACCACCCCCTCCCCCACAACCTCAAAGACTCAGGACTCAGTTACTCACTTAGCGTAGGCTGGGACCACCTGACATCCACTTCTAACAGGGTCCCACATTTGTTACTTGGGAAAATGTGTGAAAGCCTTATAAGGCACAAGTTTTATTCAGCCTCCCTCTTTTTTAATCCATAAAGTGGAAATAATAACTTCTTTTTAGTCCTATGATTGTGAAGCAGTTATTTCAATAACTAGGCACCTTTGGATACTTTCAGGGGAGTAAAAAAAAGAGGGCAGGATGCTTTCTTTCAGGTACTAATTTTTGTGTGTCCTTACTGGGCCTGGGAGGAAGGGGCTGGCCACACCGGGGGTCTTCGGCAGTAGCCAGCAGAAAAGCCCTTTCCACCTAAATGTGTGCCGAGAGCTACACCCACCTTTATGGAAAGACCTTCACCTGAATGTAAGGCACCACCCTCCTCCCTTCCCGTGCCACCCCAGAGGAACTAGGAAGGTTTGGCTAGGCATTTAGCATCTAACCTGAGTTTAATGCAATGCATCTCCCCATTTCCGGCCTATGGCCTACCTTCAGTAAATTGGTTTGTTTGTTTGTTTGTTTGTTTGTTTCTCTTGAATGGCCTGCTTAGTTATCATATTATACTATGGCTGGACCCTAACTATAAGAATATCCTTTGATCAACTGGCGAGTGGTCTGGCCGTCATTCTTCATTTCCAAAATCTTGCTAAGGTTTTACACGCACTGATCTATCTCAGAGGACCTTCAGGGAAAGCTGAGACACTTTCTCCACAGAGGTGAGAATAAGGATGCTGAGTCATTTCCTTTGCTGCTCTCTGAATTCCCATCTAAAGTTATCGGCGCGGCACACCTTGCCTGGCTTCCCAAGCATGCCTGCTTAGCATGGGTTAATGCTGGCAGGATTAGTCACTGTCGAGTGCTCAGGACTTGAGGTTGGGTAGGCAGTCCCTGAGTTCATCTGTAAAAAAGTGCATTGCAGTCATATGAAAGAATAAAAGGCACCGTGGCTACTGATGACTCCAGACTATGAAGCAGATTTGAGAGCATTCCCTTCAGGGTACCATACACTGACCCAGAACTCTTAAAAAAAATGCCAGAAGGAGTTCTTCATTATTATCTTTACCCTAAAGTTGGTCATTATTTTTCTATTTATACATTTCTTTACTTTGACTAGTCTGTCCTACTGCAGATTTTTAGCTTGCTTGAGTTTTAAAAGGAATCCTTGTGGTCTGGCTTAAACAAAACGTTTTGGAAATTGACTTTATATGAAGGAATTTCCCCTTTTCTCCCCCCTTCCTCTCACCTACACTGGCATTGTCTCCCTAGAAAGCCAAGAAGGAGCCACACGGATATCCTGAAGGTGAGTACCTACATTAGAACTAGGCTGTGTCTGAGTCTCAGGGAGGTTTGGCCAGGGTTGTGCTCAAAGAGGGAGCAGAACTTGGGAGGGAGATTTTAGGAACTTTGGGTACTAAGAGATTATGCTGAGCGGTGGTGGCGCACGCCTTTAATTCCCACACTCCGGAGGCAGAGACAGTTGGATCTCTGGGTTCAAGGCCAGCATGGTCTACAAACCCTGTCTCAAAAAAACAAAGGAACAAAAAAAAAATAAATAAAAGGAAGGAAGGAAGAGAAATTAGGAATTAACTTATACGCAATGCTCCTGACCTTCCAGTTTTATATTTTGCGAACTACAGGAAGAAACTTGGAAAAATCTGTTGTGTTGCCATGATGGACAAGGCCATAAGAAAGTGCTGGAGTTATTCCTCCTTAGATTATAACTGCCTGACATGCAGAAACTCTGCTTCTTGTTCAGCTGTGAAGCACATGGCCCAGAGTACCTGGGGCTGTCTTGAGGCTTCACTGGCTGAGGTATGGTCAGCCTCAAAGAAAACTTAAAATGCAGAGCTGAAAACGCTGCTTGCCTGAGAGGTGACTGTATTTAATTCCATTTTACTAATAGGATCATAGTCCTTAATCCATATAATATATGGTCCTTTCATATAATCCCAGGTTGATTATATGAAATAAAAAAAAAAAAACCCAAACTCAAACAGCTACGTGGCTTCTTTGGGGCCATGCAGACTTAATATCTGGTTGTTTGAATTTTGTCCCATCTCTGGGTCTCAGTTTCCCCATCTATAAAATTAGTACAGTACTGTACTTAACTCATCAGGTTCTAAACAGGATTCAATTATTAATATATGCATAAATTGCACCGCAGTGGTGGCACACGCATTTAATCCCAGCACCTGGGAGGCAGAGGCAGGCAGATCCCTGTGACTTTTGAGGCCAGCCTGGTCGACAGAGAGAGAGACTGAGGACTGCCGGAGCTACACAAGAAACCAGAATGTTATATACATATATATGCACAAATTAAAATGTCCCTAGTTATTGTGTTCATTAATTAAGACACTAAGATTTGGAAGGTATTTCTTTTTTTTTCTCCTGTGAGATATGATTTTATTTCTATAATTTTATTCTTGATGCTCTCAGACTCTCCTGTTCATGTTTTAGTGGTAGCGAGGAGGGCGGAGGGCTTGTCCAAGGAGACTGTATGCTGGGATGCCTGCATCCCAATAGGGGAGAAGGTAGAAGCTGCAGTTGTTAGGGGTGCCTACCTCCCACCTACCCACAAGCCTACTCAGAGGAAGGAACAGTCTTCAGTGTGGGGGTGGCATTCATGTCAAAAGGGGATGCTTGATGGTGTTATTTTCGTTTCCCACAAATGTGCATGTTTAAAATAGGACTTTATCCAATCGGCATAAGTGACACACGGACTATGTATAGCGGTGGAACTGGGCCTGGCAGGTGATGAGGGCCAGATCTCGCCAAAACCAAGTTGTGGTTCTCCATGGACTGTGCCCAGGGAATTGCCCCATAAGTTGCTAGCCCAGACCCCTGGGTTGGGTTTCCTTGGCAAATCTGCCTGCACAACACTTGACTTGTTTGGAATGGCTGTATCTCAGAGCTGGTGAACTGGGATCTTGGCTGCGTTTCATGGGGCATGCCAGCGGCTCACATTTCCCCTCTGAACCTCCCTCTGAGCCGCACTGTACTCAGGAAGGGTAAGCATATTCGTTGTTCTTCCCTGCCTTTTGACTCTGTGCCCTGCAGGCCTGGCACACAGCCAGGGGAGCCCAATCACTGCGCTGCAGCTCAGGCTATATTTAACGGGGCTTATTGTCTTGTCCTGGGTTTACAAGTTGAGGAACGATTTTGAGCTTGAGTAGATACTATAGCGACTTGAAACAGTGTCCATATTGTCCTCCCTTGTTTCTTCAGAGTGCCGGTAGCTCCAAGTGTATTTAAGGAGGTTTTAGATCTCGGAAAATTTCCCCTTTCAGCTTTGAATCAGCACAGTAAGGATCCTAGAAGGGTTCCCCCATTTTCAAACAAGCAGGTCACGTTCCACAGAATTTAAGTTTGGCCAAAGGAAAGGCAGCTGAAAAAAAATTCTGGTCCTGTGAAAACTTTCATTACTGTCACTCATGGGATGTTGTTCTCCAAAGACAGAAACAGCATGCAAATGAGGCAAATATAAAATTACCATATGCACAAGGGCGACTCAGAATATTTCTGGCGTTTCCTTAATTGATTTGAAGTGTAGTGCAAAATTTGAATTTTGAACAAGGAGAGAAAATTCATTTAATCAGAGGCTGGAGAAAGATGGCAGCCAGTGAAGGGTAATTGTGTACTTGCTAGACGGCTCTAAAACAGATTACAATGAACATTTGGTGGATTTGAATCAGAAGCCACATTCCTCTCCCACCCCACCTCGTCTCCCTCGGTTCTTCACAGCCTCTTCCTTTTACCCTCAAGTGTAGTTTCGATATGGAGGGAACGGACACTAAAAATATTTCTGGAATGACGTGACCCTCTACCTCCCCATCCAGGAAAGCGACAAGGCTGCACCAGACGCAGCACATGCTTTCCGTTCATTTCTGGCAGACCCGGCGTCGACCTCCAGATGCAGCTTCTTCGCTGGCTGATGGCATTCAGACCCCCAGCCACAGACGGTGCCAGACAAGCAACTGGACAGGACCGCTCAGCAGCAGGACCCTGGCCACAATCGCGGCCAGAGCCGCAGCCCCCTGGCTACGGACCACTTCTGCTGCCCGTCTTGGGAGCCCTCCCACTGCAGTCTGGCTTGCCGAGGCCCCACCACAGGGGCTGAAGCACTGGGCGGTGGTGGCAGCTGTAGCAGTGGTACCTACAGCTTTGGGGCCAGCCCCAAAGGCACGTGGGAACCTGTTTCAGGCCACTCTGCGGCCCCTCCAGGACCAGAGTGGGACCCAGGACAGCCCCAGAGCTCACCACTGTCTCTTCTTGTCACTGAAACCCGGGCAAGGGCTCAGAATGGAAGGCGGTACTTCCGACATGAACCCTCAGACCAGACTGACGCCTGCGGAGGACCAGTTGAGCCAAGCTCAAGACAACCCGGAGCCCAGGCAGCAGCTGCCGCTGCTTTCTGAGCCTTCAGACTCTGCCCAGCCTGAAGCCAAGTATGTGGAGATGTGCGCTTCAGCCGAAGTCCAAAGGGAGAGCCCCCAGACCACGCAACTACTTCTGGAACACTGCCCTAAAGAGCAGGCCTCCGGGAGCCCAAAGACAAAAGCCCAGGATGAACCCAGCAGCGGTGCCAGGGAGGTTCCAAGCCCTAGGAAGAGTCCTGCTTCTTCCCAAGGCCCCAGCTCCCGGACTGGTGAGAATGACTTCTCATCTTCCTCCTCCTCCTCCCCGGTAAACAGAGCAGAAGACGATGGCCTTTCCAAAACGGATGATCCCACCAAGTTACTGGGGGTCCTGGCCACCTCCTCTTCATCTTTAGGCTTTGAGAGTGAGCCGGAAATGAGCTGCCAACAACACAATGGAGAAGCAGGGGAAGGGGTGGGAGCGAGGGAGGATAGAGGAGGAGGGGTCAGGGATGGAACAGAGTGCAAGGACATCATTACCAAGTCGCAGGGCAAGAGGGACCCCCTGAAGAGTGAGGACCCACACTACATCACCACCCATGAGATCCAGCTGAGTGAGGTAGAGCAGGGCATGGATTTCGACGTGGGGCTGGCTTCTCGCTGGGATTTCGAGGACAACAACGTGATCTACTCGTTCGTGGACTATGCTTCCTTTGGCGGTAGTGATGAGACCCCAGGAGACATCACCACCGAAGAAGAGGATGACAACAGCTGTTACACCAGCACCACGCCGAGCTCCAACACCACTCGGACTCCCAGCCCCATCAGCAGTGACCTGGCTCGCCCTAGTGCAGGCAGCAGTGGTCGGGACACCAGCAGCACAGAAGTGGGCAGCGGCCCCTCTGACAGCGACACCGTTTCCCCACCCACTGGACCTGGCACTGTCACTACACCTGAGCCTTTACTGGAGCTCCGGGAGGCAGCCTCGGGGGCATCGGCCACTGCAGCAAGCAGCTGTAGGAGTGCAGCAAGCCAGATCCTCCTATCAATCAAGCCAACTTCCCGGGCTATAAATGAGCCTAGCAACGTGCGTGCAAAGCAAAACATTATTTACGCTGCCAAGCATGAAGGCGACATGAGCCTCCGCGTCTCTACGACTGCTGAACACAATTCAAGTTCACAGAAGCAAAATTCGGCTGCAGCCGTGGCTCAGGACCATGCAAAGAAATTCATTGCAGTCCCAGCTCGACTGCAAACCAGGTGCGGGGCCATTCGGGCCAAGGAGCTGGTGGATTACTCCAGCGGAGCCTCCAGTGCAGTGAGCGAGCTGGACGATGCAGACAAAGAGGTGAGAAACCTGACTTCCAGGGCCTTCCGGAGCCTCGCTTACCCCTACTTTGAGGCTCTCAACATCAGCTCCCGAGAATCCTCCGCCACGCTCTCTGAAGTGGGCTTTGGACGATGGTCAACTTTCCTGGACTTAAAATGTGGAGGTGTCGGAGCCAGGGTGGAACAGAGCCTGCTCAGAAGCAGTGCCGCCTCTGTGGCTGCAGGTCTGAGGAAGGGTGGTGGCCCCCGAGCGACTGCAGACCAGATCTACCTTCAGGCCAAGAAGTCCCAGACTAAAGCCTTGGAGTTTGTGGTCAGCAAAGTTGAGGGAGAAATCAAGCATGTGGAGACACCCCTGTGCTTCCAGAAACAGGTCCAAACCGGCTCCCGGGTTGTCACACTTCTGGAGCCCCTCAATCTACGAAGTGAGAGCAAAGCCAGCTCAGCCACTGGGCCCTGCAGAACCAGCAAAGGCTCCAACAAAGGCCCAGGGTCGGTGTGCACAGATGATGGGTCAGAGACATCTGAGGGTAGCAAGCCTGCCTCTCGCAGTGACGGCCCCCAGAAGAAGTCCAAATTTGCTTCAAGTCTGCTCAAAAATGTCATTTCCAAGAAGATGCAGCGAGAACATGAGTTCAAGATGGAGAGAGGAGAAGTCACCGATACATCGCGCCGGAACAGTACCTCCAAGGAGACAGAAGTGACCAACACGTTGCGCCGCAGCGCCCCCAGCACCTCTAAGGAGACAGAAGGAACTCCTGGGGCCGAGAAGCCCTGGGAGAGGGGTCTGCAGAGGCAGAGCTCGCGTCATTCCGAGGCGAGTTCCGAGTACACGGTGGTCAGCGTGTCTGATGTAGGTGGAGAAGGGTCTGTCGTAGGTTCTAAGTCCCCTGTTTTCAAAGCCAGTACTCCTCGAGAGAGCAACGCTGGCCCCAGCCGGAATGATGGACACACAGAAGTGTGTGAAATTAAAAAGAGTGCTTCAGAGACTGTGAAGGGCATCTTTCTCCGGAGTCAGAACAGCGCCTTCCGGACATGGAAGGAGAAAGAGGCAGAGAAGTTGGAGGAGAAAGCCCCCATTGGGAAGCTGAAGCTCCCCAAAGGTGGGGACTGGAAGGCTGATCTTGGGGAGATCTCCGCCAGCAAGTCTACCATCATGTCTCGCCTCTTTGTGCCCAACATCCAGCAGACGCCCAAGGACAAACAGCCAGAGAAGCAGGCCACCAAGTATCCTGCTGCTGCCCAGGCCACCTCCATGGCAGTGATCAGGCCCAAGGCTCCTGAAATCAAGATCCGGCTGGGGAGTGTACAACAGCCAAGCTCAGACTTCAACATTGCCAAGCTGCTCACGCCTAAACTGGCTAGTGGCAGCAACTCAAACCTCTTTAAGACCATTGAGGACAACAGCAGGACCCAGCAGAAACTCTTCCGTGGTGGAGACAATCTGGAAAAAGTACCCCAGTTCCAGGTAAGAGATGTTAGAGACAAATCCAAGGCCCAAGGACCTCTCCACCAGGTGAGAGATGTCAGGAAACTGATCAAAGGGTCAGGGGACAGCAGTGACAAGGGCAGCGTCACCCCGGAGCAGGGGTTGACTGGGTCCAAGCCCAGGCAGCTGGCTGCAGCCGCTGGAGGATCTAGGTCCCTGTCCCCTATGGTGATTACGTGCCAGGCGGTTGTAAATCCAAGAGAAGACGGTGTGGACCGAGAGGCCAGGGAAGGTGTGGGCAAAGCGGGCAGTGGCAGTAGGGTCTTGAACTCCTCCCCAGAAGGGACTGTCTTGGTTCACAGGGCATCTGGCAGGCTGCCCGTGGCCACCATTGCCCCCAATAAATCCGAGCAGGGCTCTTACCTGCCTGTGCTCAAGATTGTCTCCAAGGCTCAGAGGACCCCAGAGAAAACCAAAGAGGAAGACATCAAGGAGGAAGGGAAGGCACCGAAGCCAGCTCGAAATGCCTTGGAGAAGCTAACAGCAGCAGTCAGGTCCATGGAAGAGCTGTATAGCTTCAACCGGAATGAATGGAAACGCAAAAGTGACCCTTTGCCCATGATGGCTGACAGCCACGTCCTGTCCCTCATTGCCAGCGAGGAGAGGGAAGGGGTTGCCGGATCTGAAGGAGACCCTGACAAGCTGACCAAGCAGTTGGGGCAGATGGAAGAACGAGACACGGGACACAGAGGTGGTGTGGTCCTGAGAGGGGGCCCCATAGAACGTCTGCAGAGAAGAAACTCTAACCCCAGCACGGAGAGCGTGTCTGCGCGGGCAGCTGCCTTTGAGAACATGGCCAGAGAAAGGCCTAGGTCTCTCTATATTCCCCCAGTCCACAAGGACGTGGAAAGAACTCAACCTTTGCAGCCCCTCCCCCCACTCCCCAGCAACAGGAACGTGTTCACGGTGAGTGCTAGCAGCGCTCAAAAAACCGGGGGTGTCGCGGGCAAATTCCCACAGGGGCCTTCTCCGGAGAGCCTTTCAACAGGCAAGGGCATCAAATCCCAGGGACTCAGATCCCTCAAGATCTCCCCAGCCACCCGAGCACCTCCCGATGAGGTCACCAACAGGAAAGCTGCAAACAGTTCGGAGAAGAGCAATAACGCCTGTGAGAATTACCTGACCATCCCCCTTAAAGGAAGCTCTGCTTCAGGAGAGCTGCTCGACAGGCCTGGGGCTTCCAGAGATGGGCCTCCCAGCTCCTCAGCAGCCACTCTTTGCAGCTTACCTCCGCTGAGTGCCCGCAGTCAGGTCCCCAGTAACTCCAAAGGCTCTCATGTCAGCGGAGCCAGTAAGCCAGCTTGGCGTACCAAACCTGACAACCACCGAGAAACAGTGGCTGCCCCGACAGGGCCGCAAAGCCCGGAGCATACGCCCACGGCCACAGCGGTCTACCACCAGCAGGCTTTGCCCTTCACTCTGCAGGGGGCCCAGCCACAGGTCCTCTGTTTCTCGCCACCCGGGATGGCAGCCCCAGCCCCTGCAGGCCCAGCCACAGTTCCCACAGACCCCTTTCAGCAGCAACCACCCCAGCAGACCCAGCGCAAGATGCTCCTTGATGTAACCACTGGGCAGTATTATCTGGTGGACACACCCGTTCAACCCATGACCCGGAGGTTGTTTGACCCTGAGACAGGTCAATATGTGGACGTGCCCATGACCTCCCAGCAACAACCTGTGGCACCCATGTCCCTTCCTGTACCTCCTCTGGCCCTGAGTCCTGGTGCTTACGGGCCCACCTATATGATCTATCCCGGATTTCTGCCCACAGTGCTGCCCCCCAATGCCCTGCAGCCCACACCCATCGCTCACACTGCAGGAGGCGGTGAACTCTCCGTGGCAGCAGAGACCCCCAGCAAAGAGACAGCTGCCACGTTTACCGAAGCCCCATACTTCATGGCCTCTGGTCAGTCCCCTGCCTCCTCTTCCTCCTCTGCCCCGGCAGCCACACCCCAGCTTGTGGGGGCCAAGGGCTTCGCCCAGCTCCACGGCAAACCTGTCATCAGCATCGCCTCACAGCCCTTGGGGCCACGGATCATCGCTCCACCTTCCTTTGACGGCACCACCATGAGCTTTGTGGTGGAACACAGATGACAAGAGACCCAGGACGGCAGAACGGAACAGCTCCTGGTGAGTGATGAATCTTACTCTAAGGGTCCTGATGTGAGAAGGACCATTGGTGTCCTTGTGTTGGGAATGGGAGAGTTACAGTGGCTGTCTGTAGACGTGGGAATTCTGGGAAAAGGAGACTAAACTCCATCTGATAATGAAGGAACGAATTTATTTTCCACATTGCCTCCTCTCCGTACCCCTCAATCTGCCACTGATAGCCCTTTGACCTTTGCAAGTTGCCTGATGTTTGTCCCACTAGAGAATGACAGGAAAATGAACTCCCAAAATGTCTCTTGGCCTTTGTTTTAGTCAAGGTTGGAAGGAGAAAGAAATGAAAGCCTGATCTAGATTTGGTGGAACAAGGCTATTTCTTTGTTCCTGGCCTCCTGGGGAGACAGATAACCCACTTCAGGTCACCAGAAACAAATTTAACCTGTTTGCTTCCTAGTAAGAAAGAAGAGTTTAAAATGGATGTTTTCTAAAGTCATCAAAAATCCCTTCCTCTCGTCTTTCACGTCTTCCTCTTGAAATGCCTTACACTAAAACACTACATTTTTTTTTAAGTTCTTGTTTTTGAGTTTTCAAATGATCAGAATTCTTTTCTTAGGGTTGTTAATGTGTCTCACGTGTGGGTAGATATACAACATGAGCGTGTACACACACAAACACACACACACACACACAGTTTGACCTTCACAAGAGGGTGAGAGATTCTGGAGCCAACGTTACCCGTTGGATAGAGCTGTTGCATTTCATGCTTTTTTTTTTCCTTTGGTTTTTCGAGAAAGCGTTTCATGCTTTATTGATCGGACTGAACCCATTCCACTCCAAGGCTAATTCCAATTCCCATAAGCACCATTAGATCTACATGGCTCCCTTTGAAAATGAACAACTTCCGCGCTGCAAAGGGAAGCAGAGAGAAGCCGTTACTGACACCTAGCCTGATCTGCGCTCACAGGCAGGGATTTCTGCTAGAAACACAGTCCGTGGAACTTGATAGGTGGCATGAATGTGGGTGGCTGGAACCAGGACACTTCAGGTCAAGCACAGAAAACAGAGTGAAGACACCTCCCGGCAGGGGCACACGGTGGATGTCTGAGCTGCAGGCAGGCTTGTCTGGGATAATCTTTGCCAGAGCAGGCAGGGTTGAGATTTTGTGTCCCCAGGATTTTCATTTCCTGGGAAAGTCACATTGAATGAAAAGGAAAAGGGGGACTGAGATAAGGGAATGACAGACACTCTAAGATTCCCATGTTATCTCAAGAGGGGACAGTCGTCACTCCCCCAAGCCTTTGTGTGTGTGCTCGTGTGCATGTGTGCATGCATGTGTGTGTGTGTGTGTGTGTGTGTGAAATGCTTATTCATGCACCTAAGGTAAACAGACCATACTACCAGCTTGGGGACATAAATATCTGTCATTCTATGTGTATCAGAATGTCAGTTGCTAGGACAGTGTATTGCTGCAAAGTGTCTTCCAAGATAAGAAAAGACTGCATAGGATCACATTATTGGGACTTCTGCTAAGAAATCAAGCGAAAACACAAACCCGGCTCTAGTTGCAACCTAGAGACAAGAGTGTTTGGGTTGTTCCTCTCTGAGAGGCTGCCACAGGCCCTGAGCTGTATGATGACCACCAACAAAGAGGGGCGGGGTAGGGAACACAGAGGGAACCCTAGTGGGCCTGCAGGGGAGACTCAGCCAGGAGGATTAGCTTTGCAGATATGCTATCTTATAGGGACAGCACTTTGATTCCCTGCACAGATGCTATGTTTATCTAGGGCTGTTTTGGATCAGCTAATCACCGAGGAGTCTGCAGAGCTTTGGAGGTGCCGGGTGCCCAGGAGGTTGCACAGTGGTTCCTTCCTCCCACGGGGTCCTCTTAGCAGTTACCTTTGACCTTTCTTTGGTTTAGTGTGATGCTGTTTCCACCAGACACAGGCAGAAATCTGACTTTTGCGTCTCGAGAGCCAAACTGTAGCTTTGAATTTATTCCTACCCTCGCTGGAAGCAAGGAGCCCTAAAGAAAGGAAGAAGGATGTTGGTTTTGATCTAAGCAGAGGAGTTGGGAATCAAGGGTGAGCTTTTTTTGCATGTACCGGCAGAAATCTAGCAGGCCAAATGTAGCTATGAACTAAAGGTCTTCCGAACTCCACATTATACTTTCCAATGAAAAGTCAGATTTTAAAAAGCAGGGGCTAATTCTTTTGACAGTTCGGAAAAACAATGCTCAAACAGTCCAAAGCCCCAGTTGGTTTTCCTGAGTGAAGTCTCGGCGTGTGATTTCAGTTCCAAACATAAGGGATTTGATCCAATTATAGTAGCAAACCCCACCAACAGGTAAACTAGACTTAGAGATTTTTCGCTGAAATGTCCAAAGGGCGCGCGAGAGAAGAGTGAGTGTAGGGGCTGGCCCTTACCCTAAAGGGAGGAGGCAGAGGAGAGCGCTGAGCTAAGGGAGAGAACATCTGTGGCTAACTGCCTGCTGACATCTGGTAGGTAGACTACTGATGTCTCCGTTTACTTTGGGGGATGCTTATTCCATACAAATTTTTTCAGGAAACCCGTCACACTTTTCAGTCACTGAGGATGAATGCCATGCGTGCACCCCGCAGCCGCTGTGTGCCTGTCACCCCGCAAGGTGCTGCGCTATGGCCCTGTAAGTCAGGAACAGATGCTCCAACAGGACGAGACAGCGTTCCCCTTCTACACTGATGTTCCAGCGTTCAGTAAGGTTCCTTTCAGCTCAACGACAGCCTCGTTGTCTATTTTTAGCAGCCCTTGTGTAGCCTGAGTGTAAAAGCTACCAGTCCTGTTTCTGGGTGTTCCATTACGAGTTTCCCCTTTTTTCTTCTTCTAATTTCCTCTTTTTTTTTTTTTTTTTTTTTTTTTTGCTGTGGGGGCTTTCATGCCAGCCGACAAAGCACTGTAAATTGTCAGCAGTTTGTTTCTTTAGACGTTGTGTGTATGAGAGAGTGTTTTTGTTTTGTTAAGTTACTTGAACAAAACTTTAATCGACATTAAACCTGCCCCCTAGGGTCCAACCTTCGAGAATGGCAAAGATTTTGTTTTAATTGAATGCCCCCTTGTTTTTCTGCAAGGCTTATTTCTTCATTTCTGAGCAAGTTTCATGACCTTTCTTTTCTATTTACTTCGGGGGTTATTTCTACCCCACGAATAGAGGGAGCCTCATATGTCAGCAACTAAAGAGGAAAAAGAAATCTGGATTCAGGGGGAGCCATTTTCAACACCCACTTTCATGGTGTATTCTGAGTGGGCCCAAAGGAGTTCTGAGACCGTCAAACCGGGATCCATTTGTATCAAAACTGAGAAGTCAGGTGATTCTTCCTCAGCTACCGTCCCTTCTGTGAAAGGCTTGGCTTGCACCCTGGACATTCAAATCAGTATCTTTCCCGTCTCCATCCTTTCTTTCTCTCTAAGGACACTGTGAGAGCCTCCTGAGTGTCTGCTCTAGGGTTTGCTTGCTCTCTGAGAAGTTATTCTGGGCCCTTTGTTAATTGTGCCTTTGTTAGCCTTTCCTTCCCTTTGTCAGCTCAGTTGACTTTAACAGCCTACCACACACATCTCTACATAAGCCCATGTCCTTACTCTTTTCAGGGTTTTGTTCTTATTACAGAACAAATAGCTTAAAGTGCAGGGCTGGGTAGCCTTGCCAGCTCTCTCCCCAGAACACGCTTCAGTGTCCAGTTGCTGAGCTGCTGTAAACTCCATGCTTCATTTTCAGTTACTCCCATACTTACATCCCACAACCAGTGGTTTATTTCTGTTCCCCTCCCCCAGAAAGGTTGTGGCTCCCTCTTCCAATTATTGTATGTAGCTAGAGTTTCGTTCTATCTTTTGTTGTTGTTGTTGTCTTGTTTCTTTGGGACAGGGATTCTCTGTGTAGCCCTGGCTGTCCTGGAACTACCTCCATAGACCACCTGCCTCTGCTTCGCAAGTGCTGAGGTTAAAGTGCTCTATCCTATTCTTAATGTCCTTTATTTTAATTGACTTTTCTCCCTTTTCATAGAATTAATCTTTCCTCTAGCTTTTTCTCGTACCTTTCTCCAAAGTTCATTGTACATACACACATATCTTAGCCAAGGCTGGCCTCAAACTCATCTGAAGTAACCTCAAATCCGTTTCTTCTGCCTCCGCCTCCCAAGCACTGTGCGTACAGGTGTGCTCTGTCTACCTTTATATTTTCTTCCTCACCACAACATGGTCTCTCGTCACTGGCTTCCTCAAACAAGTATGTAGGTAGACTCTTCCATCTAGACTGCCGAGCAGCAATGTCCCACCAATCGCTCCCCAAATAACTGCAGAGACTTAGTATTAATTATAACCACTCAGCCGATAGCTTAGGCTCATTTTCAGCTAGCTCGTGTAACTTAAATTAATCCACTTCTAAGAATCTATGTGCTGCCCCAGGCTCATTTACCTCATCTGCATACTTCCCATCCTGCTTGCTCAGTGACTCCTGAGACTCCACCCCTCTTCTTCCCAGCATTTTCTCTGCCCTGAAGATCCTGCCTAGCCATCAGCCAGGTTTTTATTAACATTGAGAACAGCACATCTTCACAGTACACAAAAGAATTACTCCATAGCATAAGTGGACACTTTCTTAACCCCTGTTGGGCAAATGAAGACATTAATTATCTTAATTCATAGTAAATGAAGTCCGGGCCATCTGAAGCCCATGTTTGCGCATTTACAGAAGATCCTCACTCGCCTGGTTCTCTTACCTTTTAACCGCCATTTTTCTTTGTTATGAAATATTCCCTTTCCCCTATCTGACCCTTTGTGCAAAACTTAGCCTATCTGAAAATTTTCAGTATCTTTATTTTGTCTCTTGGCCAGTAAGCTTAGTAATGAATTCATTACGTGCCGTTTGTGTCCTCTGAGAGGACGGCCGAACATGGCTAGGCTGGCCGCCCTGGTGCTAGTTTTTCAAACTTCTGTTCAGTCAGGTGGGAAATGAAAGTTGAATCCTAGAGAAATTTGAGTCTTCTAGTTATTTCACTAGCATGGAGAGAGAGAGAGAGAGAGAGAGAGAGAGAGAGAGAGAGAGAGAGAGAGAGAGAGAGAGACACTGTATGTGTGTCTCTGTGTGTATGTGTGTGTATGTGGTGTGTGTGTGTGTATGTGGTGTGTGTGTGTGTGTGTGTGTGTGTGTGTGTCTGTGTGCCGAGTTTGAGGAAAGGGCCAAGAAAGGCAGGGAGACGGGAGTAAGTTGAAGTCTGCTATATCCAATATATATCAAACTTCTATATGAGTTTTTCTCACGTCAAAACAAAAATCTAGCCAGACATCCTATGTTACAAAGAGAACCTGAGCGATATCAGCAATGCTAGACTGGAGGTTATGTCCTCAGTGACGAGATAGTTTGGGAGAGGAGAGGTGTGGGATGTACATGTGGGGGTATCCCCTCCCCAGGGATATAAACGGGTTGGAACGAAGTATGTGACTGTGACCAGAGCAGAGGTACACATGAAGTCAGACAGCTAGGACCCAGACTGTGGGACCCTTACTCACTGGTCCAGGCCCCTGCTATACACACTTTGAGCCTAATTTCTCTCATCTGTAAAATGGAAATAAGCTTGGCAATGTTGTAAAGATGGAACTGTCAACTCACCTCAAAGAACATGGCTTGTAGTAACCAGCAACGTTTCCTGAAAATAAGAAGCCCTAACTGCCTTGAAATTTCCCTCAGGTCCTTGACAGAGGAGGAAACAGCCCTATTGTTTCAGTGGCCCAGGGTGGAGTCAGGGATTTATGCACAGAGAGCTATCCCAGATAGGAGAGAGTACCCACAGCTCTGCAGTCCCCTCAGAGCTGGCTGGTCTCCAGGCAGGTTGGCTGGGTGCCAGGGCATTCTAGTATCCCTCAGAGCCTTCCAGCATGTTATAAAACTCTGGGTCCAGCCTGCCAACGGCCAGTGGTGATTTTCCTCTCTGTCTGGGCACCAGCCTGGGAAGAGCGAGGGGAAGTCCAGGCTGAATCCCTGCTGAATGCTGTCAGCGTTCCAGGTCTAAACTCCTGGGAAGGCACTTGGGGAGAGCCCCTGCTAATGCGGTGTAACTAACCCTTCATCTCTGCTCCCAGGATCCCTTGCGAGGCCTCTGATAGGTTTTATTGGCTAATTATTATTATATCATTCTCAATAAGAATTAGATCAATACTTTCAAGTTTTCAAACAAAATTTCTCTAAAATTAATAGAAGCAGGAAAAAAATGCCTTATGGATATCCACAAAGTGTTATCTAGATTAATGATCCTTAAATATGATTCCAGGAGACTGTCTCAGTTGGCTGCCATCTTGAAGGGGAGTCTCCTCTTCTTCCTCCCTCCCTTCCCCCTCCTCCTATTGGAACCCTTTCACCCTGCTCAAGGAGCCCTCATGAACTTTGCCTTAGGATGGCACCAAGCCAGAGCTACTGGAGCACAAATAATAAAAACACAGAGACAGATATTGGGGTTCAACCTGACGACTAGAAAAGCAAAGCAGCGAGTCAGTGGCTCTTACCTCTACCTCAGTCTGAAATGGTGATCCTGCCTCCAGGAAACCTCAGAATGAGACTGAGACTGAGAGCTGTCTCCTCCTGTTTTATGATCCTCTCTAGTTCTGGGTTAAAGGCACGCGCACCACTACTACCTGGTTTCTATGGCGAGCTAGTAATGCTACCGGCCTGGTGTGTCATTGTGGCTACTGGGATTAAGGGTGTGTGTCACTACTATCTGGTCTATAAGACTGGCCAGTGTGGCTATTTTAATTTTCTGTTCTTCATGCAAACTTTATTTATTAAAGTACAAAGGAAATGCTACTACAAATTACTGTCAAGTTCTTTTATGCAGTTGAAATCATTCTTAGTCTCAGGGTCACTCCTCCTTTGCATGTGATTATATTAAGTTTACTCTTGCTGCTCTGTGTGAGTTAAGGTAGAAAATCAAGCTTAGCAAATTGTGTATCAGTGAGCTCCAGGGGACTGCTAAATTGTGGGCACTGCATGCTCCAACATTTCCTTTAGCCTCAATGTATCTTTTCAATATAAATATGAAACAAAAAGTTACAGTTGAAATATATTCATATGTGCTGCAAAAGCATTATTATTCTAGCTCACTGTCTTAATAATCTTGTTCTTAAGCAGGCTTTTTGTCCTAGGTCACAGGACTAAAGTATCCCTTCCTTGCCTTGCTACTTGATGGCAAACAGTTAGATTCTTCTTCCTCAAGGCTAGTTTTCACATGATAGAGACGTCTTACTCCTCAACAAATATCACTTGCTGTTCATTGTATTTTTGTCTTTATAATCTTACATTTGGACATCAACTTTTAAGCATTATAAAAGGTTCTTAAGCGAAGTTCTAGTAGATTATACTAAAAATTAATAAACATAGAAGAAAGGGATAATTTCCCGGATGCTTTCGAACAATGTCAGTGCTGTCTTAAAATGGACTTAATTGAGTTACATGTTATAACCACTATATCTAATTTATATAATAGCGCACTGTGAGAAAGAAATTCCACATGATTTAGTTAGTGGTCATTTGCTTTCTGAGAATCCCTCGTGTTTCATTCATCTAATTAGATTACTGACATGGTGAATTACAAAGGACGCCATTTAACTTAAATATCAGTTCTATGTGCCAATTTTAGGGACACATACAATATATTGTTTTGTCCTTGTGAACAATTTCAGAGAAACTCAACCTTTCACACTAACGTCATTTTGAAGAGTTGGCTAAATGCGATTCCGTTTCCAAAGGCAGGTTGCACTTGGTTGCCCTTTCTGGAAGTCAGCATTGACCAGTAGCTTCAGAGGCATGGTTTCAAAACACATTGAAAAATATAAGTTCCACATTATAGGGAAATGAGCCAAATAATTAAATAGCAGATGGGGAATGTTCTTTCAGAATTAACCATCTTTTCTTTGACCGTGTTTTCTTTGCATCTGTTTCTTTTGCAGGAGCCAGGCAGAAATGCGGACTGTTCTTTAATCTGAAATTTGCATCGTAACACAACCAGTTCATCTGAAAACCCACCAGTTGTGTTATGAACTTTTATTTCTTAGGACCCGTGTGCAAGTTTGTATATTTTCCTGAGCAGCTCCCTTTTGAGGTAGCTTTCGTTATTTCGGTTTCACTAAGATGACTGAATGGTTGTGTTTCTCCCCATAAAATACTTCTTTTTATACTTTAATACAGGATGTATGCTTTCTTATCCCTGCCTTCCCTCCTGCATGTGTGACCAGGCAAACAGTACAATGAGTATTTGAATGGTTCATTCAAAGCAGGCTGTAGAATCTGATTGGTTCTATTGCAAACCAAATCAGCAAATTAATAATAGGATCACAAATGCCCTTGGAGTTCCTTGGACTATATTAGCGGCTCTCAAGAATCCGACCTTCGTTGTAAGTGTGCAGCACACACACCTGCCCCTTTCGTGATTTCTTTCATAGATTCCTTCCTGCCTCTTATCATTTGCCGCCTGACGTTCTGGAGAAGGACTTTGCTTCAGTGGTTCTGGTGCCCTCCAGCCCTCGCCATCCCAAAGAAGAAATCTATAGTCATGGTGCTTGCTTCTTGCTTCAGGTTTTTAACAGATATTAAGATTCCAACCCCCTGGGATGTTTTACTGACCAGGTGTAACCCAATTCTGACTGAGCAGACACAGCTTGTCCTAATTGATGTCTCAATTAAATGATGCACTGAAGAATTTCTTGATTACTTTCTAATCAGCTAGATTAGAAACCCTTTAAAGCCCACGCATTTTCTCAAGACTTTCATAAGGAATCTCTCAGCTACTCATTTGTTTAAAGATAAAGCATTCTGATCAAGTCTTTAAATTATCATTTTGATTTTGATGACCTATATTTGGTTTCTACTTAAGAGTGTTGCTTGACATGAAGAATTTTATGCTGCCGTATAATACTGAATTTTCTAAGGTTTTCACAATTTTACTACTTTGTAATTACGCTTTTGTTTTTTAATCCAGACTCAAAACCAAACAGATTCAATGTACTTCGAGGGTCACCCTTAAAGGAGAAAAAAAAAAACAAATTCTAAAAATTCAGTTCTTTTAGATAAAGAGCAAGATTTGAGGCAAGAGCAGTGGCTTTGACCCCTCAGTCACTGGCCAACAGCTGTGAAATAAAGCTTCATCTCTGAGACATGTGCTGTGAAGCATGATCTCTGGAATGGAAGAAGCCTTTGGGCCATGTTTAGGAAAGCATGATTTCTTCCTCATAGGAGATTCACCTCAGAACTTTAGCATTTTTTTTTTCAGGCCAGCTGGCTACCTATCAGGTCACTTAAGATTGGAACAAGAGACTAGAACCCATTTCTTTCAAAGATCTCAACCTGCAAGCCCTAAAGCAGCAGTGTGAAATCTCAAGGATTTGAGTGGAAAACATGGAATATATGGGCATATTGCATGGATAGAACCCACACCAGGAAGGATTCTTATGTCCCAGGAGACTTTCAGGAAAGCCCATTATTGGGTTTGCATGCTAGCTCCCCACAAAGAGACACCCCTTCTCCTCAAGCAAACATGTCAGTACAGAGGTTGGAAGCCCATGGGCTACTATCAGTATTCATTATCACCAGCAGATCTGGCCTTCCATTCTCACATGGTAGGAGAGAAACTGAGGCAGGGAAATTTTTATTAGTTGCTTCTATGTAAAAGGCTGAGCCCTCCCACAAGTTTCCAAGGATGTGATGTGCCCAAGTGGTTAAAATACAATTATAGCCCCACGTTGATTGATGCCTTTTATACCAGCTATTGGCCATTCACAGCTGCAGCATCATCTGCTGGACCACTTCCTACCTCGAGTGATGGAGAAGAAAGCATCTCATAGGCATACATCCTAATCTCTGTTCCCTTTGTTCTGTCATTTCTGGAGCTGGTATGGACATTTGAATAACATGGCTGTTCCTTCTTCTTTTAACCACTGTGGGAGGAACCAAGAATCTAGAAAGCCTTTTACCTCTAAGAAGCGGTAACTCCCAACAAGGTCTCTTGACTACTGAACCACCCGTCATGTTTTATATCATAAAACCCCTAATTAAAAAAAGGTACCCTGGATGGAGCTCTGTGCTTGAATCTGACAGAACGTGGCCTGGCCTTTGTAATTTTTTCTCAGGTCATGTGTGAGGCTCAGTTTCCAGAATGATCGTGAGGAACTTCGTGAAGGAATTTCAACCCATGGATCCTTTCCCTTATTGGTATGGGGTCAACTTGACATAGGCCTTGTTTGACCTGTTTCCTGAAAACTAAGCACAAATGTAGCCAGTATAAAAGTTCAGTTGACCAGGATATATTTCTTTGGACACTTATTGAAATTGCCCCCATGGGTAAATGAAGCCCAGGATAAAGCATCACTGCAAATAGGACCATCTCTGAGTAATTAAGCTAAAAATGAATTTTACTTGAACAACTTTGTGATATGTTTCAAAAGTTAGCATGCATTTCAAATCCATCTTATATGACCAGAAAATGTCTCATGACACAAAAACCTTTTTCTTTACTCAGATTTGACCTTTTCACTCTTGCTTCTTAAAAAGATTGGATGTGTTCCGATTCTCTTCTTCCACTGTAGAAACAAAAGCCTGTATTTGCTACAAACCAAATGATCTTAGTCCCTGAACTCTATCTACCTTGGCCTGAAGGACAGAATTGATTCCTAAGTAGATGGCTATGCTTTCACAATAAATGTGTGCAGTGTTGGTGTCTAAGCAGATGACTCTTATCTCATAATAAGTGTGTATATGTGCACAGAAAACACATTCAATGATACTCTTTATATTTAAGACTATCATGGTATACATTTTCTTATGTGGTGCTTGAGGAGTTTCTTTCTGCAGTTTACAAGGTGTAATATTTGCACCCCAAAATCTCAGGGTATGCTATTTTACCCAGATACTTGAAAGAAAAAGGTGCCCTGTATTTTATCAGTACTGTTGATGGGGGAAAACTATGTGTAAGTTTGTATGAGAAAACTGCTCATAAAAATCAAATCAATAAGCTGTTAGGCTTTTACATAATTTCTAAGGAGATGTATACATCAGTAATATAGTCAAGAGATTGCTTATATAGTCTTTAGTTTCTGGTTCTGAGGTCGGCCTCATGGGTACATAAAATCACTGAGCAGCATGCAGCCTTTGCTCAGGAGTGCCTTGAACTTGAGTCTGATCTGAATCACACTCCATCTGTGACGAGTGTGAAGCCAAGACCCAGAAGACTCCTGTGTCTGTTATTGGATTTATTGCTATTTAATTCAAAATGGTGCAGAATAGAATACACACGACTAAGTTAGTGTTTCTTCGGGTTGCTGAATTGCTGTTTTCAAGCTAGTGTGGTGGCCTCAAGTCCTTTCCTGGATTTCCTGAGTTACCTACTAGCCTGGATCTGTTTCCTGGCAGACAGCCTCTTCCCACCCCAACACCTCATCTGGATGTGTGTTTGTGTATTTACATATAAATTATATTCTTGCATAGCGATGACAGTGGAGTTGGACGAGAAAGTGAGGACCGTGGAAGTCATGTATGATAGAAGAGTGTATATTGTGTAATACATAGAGAAGGATTGTTGGAGAACGGTAACCTATGCCCTCGACTGTGAATGATGGTATGTGGAAAGAAGGTCAAAATTGAAAATTCACCAGTGGAGTCATCTTGGTGGAGGAGTTCCTAGCTGAGGTTTGATGAGATTCGATGGCACAGTGCTGTGAGCGCGGCTGAGGGAACTTTGAGTCCAGCCAACAGCTCCAGGATTTGCCTTTCAAGTGCTCTTGCCCATGCAGAAGGACCACTGCGAGAGGTCTCGGCGTGAAAGCCGACTTACCTGTAGCTGCCAGCATTTGTAAACGACGACGGTGCAATCTTGTGGATTGGTTTTCTATATTGACAGTTTTGAAAAAAATGTTTGTTGTTGTTGTTATTTTCCAGTAAAAGTAACTATAAAGAAAGCTTCCGTGGTTGGTCTTTATTCTAACTCACAAAGCAAGCTTTGGGTGTTTTTATTTTCTTCTAACTTCTAGTTTAAGTTCCTCACTTAAGAAACAGACCCTGTAGTTACTGTACAACCAGGTACATCCATTTCCTATTGGTATGGTAACAAACACAGATTTCAGTGACTTCGGGCAGCGTGTCATCGAGGGAAAGCAGAGTAGGAAACTCCAAAGGGGAACTGAAGCACAGATTAAGGAGAAATGCCCCTGACTGACTTGCTTCCCCGGGCCTGCTCAGCTTGCTTTGTTAAACAACTGTGGTCACCTACCCAGGGAGCAGCACCACCCACAGTGAGCGGGCCCTCCCCATCAATCATTAATCGAGAAAATACCCCAAAGACTTGCCAACAGGCCAACACACAGAAGCATTGTCTCAGCTGAGGTTTGCTCTTCTCAGACAAGCAGAATTTGAGTCAAACGGACCAAAACTAACCAGCATGCTAGTCTCCATTATAGACTAACCACGTAGTCCTAAAATTCCCAGGCTCAGGGACTGTGTGTGTGTGTGTGTGTGTGTGTGTGTGTGTGTGTGCTAATACCTACCCGCCTACTGGGGCGTGGCCTCATGGACTATTTACCTGGATGCGGAAGCGCATCCCGCCCCTTCCTTCCTCTTTCTGCTTGCCCCTGGGGCCCCCATTTTGGCTGTTCGGTTTGCTTTGGATCTGATCTTCGTCCATCGTCCTAGCAGAACATCCTGACTTTGTAAGTCTAACCCTTAATAAACACCGATCTCTTTTCTTAGTTCTGAGCTAGTGTGAGATTCCTTTTTTGTTAAGCGGCCCATCATTCCCGCCTTCACTAGGTGGCCCTAAACAGGCAGACAGCTGCAGTCAGCAAACACCTTAACCGTGAACTACTGGCGCTCTTGCTCTAAAAACAGTTCCACGCCTCTTCTGCTAGGAGGTAATTTTCACTGATTTTTTTTGTTCATTTGAATCCAGCCATGGTCCTTAATAATGGACTCAGTCTCTCCTTTGACCTCCTCTGCGCCCCAGCTTGCTGGATTCCAACAAATTTCCTGTCATTTTGATGAAGAATTTGTTTACCTGACAAGGCCCCAATTATTGAAGATCTGAGGCATGCAATATTGTAAACACTATAGCTTTAGAACAGAGTATGCCCATTCTCCTGGTTATGCTTTGCTGAACACTGTTGTAGCAAATTCAAACAGGAATCATGTGTGTGGCTCACACATCTGCAGGTGAAGCTGGGCTTGGCAGACAGCGACCAGAGAGCACTCTCTCCTAGTGTTCTCTTACAGATTTGTGAGTTGCTGCCTTTAGCTCAGAGCTCTGCTGAGCCACAGACCAAACGACTTCGCATCCTCTTGGGAGCCTCCCTGCTCGGACATCTTCAAAACATCCTGGCTATGTTCCGTTAACCGAGAATTCCAGGAGGCAGGAAGCAGATGTTGCCAGCTGCTTAAGGCCTCGCTCAGATATGGATACGACATCATTTTCACCATCTCCATCAACAGGTAACTAAAACCAAGATGTGGTAGCTAGGAATGCAACCACCACCTCTAGGAGATGTTTGCCAAACAGGAGATGGCTGTTGAGTTTCACACCCTCGTTATCACGAAGGGCTGTCTTCAAACATGCTTTTAGGGAACGGGCTCTAAAATGAGTCCTTAGGGGAGTTTAGGCTCAGACAAACATTCTAGAAAAACGAATCTAGAATGAGGGGAATCGATAATGGGATAGGTGTTTGTGTTGGGCGATGCTTTGGAGTCAGGAAAGGCATTCATTACAGTTGTCCATCAAGTGTAGAGGGAATTACCTTCCTTTGGAGGAAAAATGGACGCCTATGACAGCTACGCCAGGCACTCTGCTTCTTGAGAGATGTTAAGTTTTCGGGAAGCCTCTAACTATGACGAGAATGCTTATAAAGCTGTTCAGTCCAAGCCTTGCCAAAGGCATGGAGACTGAAAGGAAACTGGCCAACAGCCACCAAAAAGAGAGCCATGTCAGCCGCCTAGCCCAGGACTAGCGGGGGACGGGAGCACTGGGCCTGGACAGGACTGGGAAGATAAAGGCATTGCAAAGGGCTGGGAGTGAAGGGCTGTTTAGTTGTTCACAGAACAGGGCAATGGGGAACAGTGCAGACAAGGAACATACTCAACATTCCGAGACAGAAACTACCCAACAGAAGTGGTGTGGAAAAAGTAACTTTTTTTTTTTTTTTTTTTTTTTTTTTAACGCTACAGCTTAACCCACAGAGTGTCCCTCACAGACAATGTTTCTGGAAGGCTTCTAGGCTTTAGAAAGTAAGAGTGGATGTATTCAAGACAGAAACACCTGGGTGTGAAGTTCATTTCTATCTTTCCTATTAATCCCTTTTATTCCCTAAGTCCACATCTCTGCTGTAAAGTTAGCATAGTCATGGACATCAGAGTATGGCATGCATGCATGCTGTAGGTCCACGACACACACACTCTCTCTCTCACACACACACACTATAGACAATTATAGAGTATGCCATGCATGCATGCAGTAGATCTGAAGTCTATACACACACACTCACATACACTATAGTAAATATAGGGTATGGCATGCATGCACACTGTAGCACTGAAGTCCACATACACACACATACACACACCACTCACTATAAACAAATATGATTAAAAAAATAAATATCAACTGCTATAATATGCCTCTATTTTATTACTTCTGTCTTTGGAAGATTCAAATCCACCGCTACACAGATTGTTTAGAGATATTCAATCCATCAAGAAATAGAACTTCTTTTATTTGGGCATGTAATGCAAATTCAATGAAGGAAATTTAGAAAATTTTAAATATTCTGAGGTGCGTTTGATACTTTACTACATGCAAATTTGCAGTCTTCTTTTTTGCTTCATAATATTAAAAGCCTACCTCTTTATAAGTTTCTTGGTGGATAATCATATGTGTGTTGCATGCATGTGGGTGTGAAAGTACACGCACCCATGTACATACTTGTGGAGGTCAGAGGCGTTATGAACTAATTATTATTAAAGAAGAACAGTATTAAATGTCATCTATCACGCCCCACTTTGTTTTGGAGGCAGGACCTCTCACTGGACATGAAGCTCTGTTTCAGCCAGACTGGCTAGCCAGGGAGCTCCCGCAATCTGCCGGCCTCCATCCTTCAGTGCTAAGAGTGTAAGTGAGAGTGGCCATGCCCGGGTTTTATCCTTGTGCTGGGGATGTGAACTCGGGTCTTGCTTGCCTAGTGTGTGCTCTCGCACACTGGGGCATTTCCTCAGCCCCTGGAGTGACTTTTTCTTCACATGACTCCCCCAGGGTGTGTTTAAGCGTGGCACACTAGCGTGTCTTTAATGTGATGTGTGGTTTGAGGCTGTGCAGGTAAGTGCTGCACTGAGCATCTTGAAGCATACCTCTTGGCAAGCATCTCCGCTAATGTCCATGGCACAAAATCCCAGAAGTGGAATTACTGACTAAAAGGCATGAACAGCCTGAAAATTTTTGTCACAAGGGATTTTAAGACAGCTCTTGGCCATCCTCAACACAAGCAAGGTATCAGTTTTTAGAGAAACGTTACACTTTAATGGCAAGCCATCCCATAAATCACTCAGTTAGAAGCCTCTATCCTAGCACTCAGTTTTTCAAAGCACCTTGAGGGTGGGAGGATGCCATCCCTGGCTGGTGTGTGATGTTTCACACTTTGGGCTTTTTTGGGGGGTGAGGGGCCACTACCCAGCTCCCAAATAAATCACAGTCTGAGGCTTATTCTTAGTTATGAATGCCTGGCCTTAGCTTGGCTTGTTTCTTGCCAGCTTTCCTAATTTAAATTATCCAGACTACCTTTTGCCTCTGGTCTTTTACCCTTTCTTACTTCTGTATATCTTACTTTCACTCTTTCTCTGTGGCTGGCCGTGTGGCCGGGTGGCCGGGTGGCTGGCCTCTGTTGTCCTCCTCCACATCTTTCGTTGCTCCTCTCTTCCTCGGTTCTCCTTCTAGTTATACCCTCTGCCTGCCAGCCCCGCCTATCCTTGCTCCTGTCTCTCTGTTGGCCATTCAGTTCTTTATTAGGACCCTCAGGTGTTTTAGACAGGCCAAGAATCACAGCTTCACAAAGTTAAGCAAATGCAGCAAAAACAAAAGTCACACACCTTAAAATAATCTTCTCCAATAGCTGGTGTTTGGGGGAAAGGTCCATTCTAGCCCAGAAGGCAAAAGCTCTTACTTTCACAACTGTTCTCCCCACCACCATGGGGTACAAACATCAGATAAGGCTGTCTTGTGAGTCCAAGGGTCTCCTTTAAGCTGGGGCTCCCCAGCTTGATCCCCATACGGATAACGTGAGCACCTGCGTGCAGCACAAATGCTAACGTTCTGCCTGTTGCTGAGATGGAGCGACTGGCAAGAAGCAGCCTGTGTTAGGGAGCTACATGTGTTAGGACTACTGGGCCCTGGTCACTGTGGGTGGCCACCTTCTGAGAAAGCAGTAAGAGAGCTGCTGCGTTCCGACTAGTAAGTTATTTCTCTATAGTGTACTATTGTCCCCCATGGTGTTTTGTAAGTTGGGGAAAGTAAATGCTAGGGATTTGTGAAAACATTTTTTTTAAAGGTTAGTGCTTAAGAAATGCTAATTTTCCTTTATTTTCACAGAAAGTTAACCTAGTTTATATATATATATATATATATATATTTTTTTTTTCTTTTGTTTCCTTAAGGTAGAGTCTTCTATAGCCCAGGCTGGTCTTGATCTTGCCGTGTAACAGGATAACCTGAATCTTTCTGTCTCTAGCTCCTGTGTGCTGCGAGTACATTTATGGGCCATACCATCCAGTTTATATTGTGCTGAGGATCAGACCCAGACCTTCGCACATGCAGGCACTCGGTGAACTGGACTGCGTCTCCAGAGCTAACCTTTGCTTTCTGGTCCTTAGTTATTTTTGTTCTT